GGACAGAGGACCTGGGGCAGAGGACGTGAGGCAGAGGACCCGGGGCAGAGGACCTGGGGGGCAGAGGACCTGGGGGACAGAGGACCTGGGGGACAGAGGACCTGGGGAACAGAGGACCTGGGGCAGAGGTCGTGGGGCAGAGGACCAGGGTCAGTGGACCCGGGGCAGAGGACAGGGCTCTATTGCAGAGGCTCCATGGCGAGGTGGGAGGGTGGTGCTCAGTCCCTGGAAAGGTACCAGGTTGGTGTGAACCACACAAGGAGCCATGGCCCAGGAAGGACAAACCCTCCTGTCCTGACAGCTTGTCGCCCTAAGGAGCCCCCGGACGCCGGCCTCGAGCTGATCTATTGGCTCCTTTTTCTCTTTGGACCGAGTCCTCAGGGATGGCTGCTTCTGCCCTTTGTGACGTGGCTGCAGGGAAGGAACTAGCGGCTGGCATGTCGTGATGGCCACTGAGGCTCCAGAGTCCCTCTTGGGGTGGCTTCTCCAAGATCTGAACAACAGTCCAGGACATTGACTCTGCCCAGAATCAGCAGGTTTCAGGGGCTGGTTGGCGGCTGTTTGTGGACCCTCCTACTCAGCCCCGGGAGGAAATAAGCAAGAATAGGAGATGCAGCTTGGAAAAGGGCTACTTCTAGACGGCCACAGGTTTGAAGAGTGGCCAGACGCACTTGTTTGTAATCAGGGAGATGCAAATTAAGAGAAGATAGAACCACACGTCAGTAGGATGGGAGGAACCAGGCAGGGGACACGAAGTGGTGGTGGCCGGGAGGAAACCAGGCCTCTGCTCTGCAGGCCAGACGGCGGCCCCGGAGCCCGCCAGAGACTCGGCAGTGGCCAGGAGGGTCATTATCCTTGCTCCCTGGACCCAGTCGTCCTACTCCTGGGTTTATAGCCCGGCCAGCTACCCCACGGGTCCCTAAAGAGACAATGTCAGAAGGCCACTCTTCTTGAGGTTCGGGGACCTGGAGGCTACCTCGGCAGCCAACATTGGTGAAGCATCACACCCAAAGGCTTCACTACCCGGGGGCCTTGGACGCGTGCGCACTCCAATATGGGTGCCAACAGATGCAGAGTCGAGAGGGCAGAGGAATGGGAGCCGCGACCCACGGGAAAAGCCAAAGGTGACATGAAAGTCACTGGACAGTGTCCAGGGGGCTGTCCAGGGGCTATGCCACTCCACCCCAGCATGCTGCGAGGGCTTGAGGGGGTCTCTAGTGACTTTGGACTCAGTTCCTAATCTGAGAAATGGGAGCGCAGGGCAGGGCTCAACAGGAAACGGGAAACAAGCTGGCTGGCTGGAGTTCAAAACCATCATCCACAGCCAGGGACAGAGGGCAGGAGGCTGGGTGCAGCAGCACCTCCCAGCCCAGGCCTCCAGGAGACATCCGCCTGGGCAGGGGCTGGTCCAGGGACACAGGGAGCCCCGGGTGATGCTGCAGGGCTGAGGGAGACACGCAGATGGTGTGAGCAGCAATCCCCCTGCCCTCACGGATGGGTTCCCAGAGCCGCGCGGTGCCTAACACGGTGGGTGACATCGAACCCCACATCTACACCTTCCCTCCTCCTCCGTGGCTAGGATACGGTCATCTTACAAATCAGGCCCAGGAAGAGGTGGACAGTGATGACGAAGATGAAAGTCATTTAAAACTGGTGAGTTGTTTGTTTCTGAGATTTTCCTCTGAATCTTCGGGGACTGTGATTCCTGACGGATGAGGAAACCCAGGGAGCAAAGCTGTGGGCAAGAAGGGAAGAGCGAGGGAACGTGAGCCCTGGGTTCACAGCTGTGGGCCTCGTGAGTCCCGCGTCCAGCAGCGAGGCTGGGACTGAAGGCAGGAGCCGCAGACTCCCAGGTCACCTTGTTCCCGTCAGGCTCCCACTGATGGGCAGGACCCCCCATCCTGGAAGGCAAGGTGCTTGACTCAGAGTCCGTTTATTTTAAGCGTTAATCTCATCAAAAGCATCCTCATGGAAACATCTAGAATAACCTGGGACCAAATATCCGGAACCACAAAAGGCAGAAAGTGACGAGTCTTCAGTGCGGCCCTCCCAAGCCCACCTCTGGGGCCAGGGGACCAGGGGCCAGGAGCCGGAAGCAGGTCCAGAGGCAGACCCCACACAGGGTGACAGGCTTTAGTCACCACCAGAGGTTGCCCCTGGTGCCCCCCCTGGTGCCCCCCCCCCAGGCCTGGGTCAGACGCTCTGGCCCTCCCCGGTGAGTGTTC